AGAGAGGAAGTGATATTTTTAATTTTCATGGATAAAAGTAATGAAAGTGATCGAAAAAGAATGTGGCTAAATGAACATAAGTAAATTCAACATTGTGTCAATGTTAGTCTCAGATTCAAGTCCCTTACTGGACAAATTATGCACCATTGCTCATCACAGGAAAACAGTATCGTAGTTCTTCAGTGTGTGTGTGTGTGTATAACAGCCAAAATTCAAGTTTTTACCTATGATCCATTCTAAGGATTAATTAGTTTAAGAACAAATGGACATCATTGTGAGGGTATTCTTACTGGGATTTTTAGATTCTAAGGACTTCCTCACAGATTCAACATCAACATTGGTTGCACCTTATTTTTCCCTCAACCCTTTTTCTCCTTGTCCATATGGCTTTTCTTCTGGATCTTTCCAACTCAGGCCCCTACCCAGAGAATATTTCCACTCAGTAATCTATTCATAGTGGCTCAGCAACTTAGGGCATATTGCTCAGAGCATATTTCCACAGTGGCTCAGCAACTTAGGGTGTTTCTCCCAGAGCATATTTCTACGCAATTTCTATAGTGATTTCTCATAGTGGTTCAGCAACTTAGGGTAGTCTATTTATTTTCTCATATTTCCTCACCAGGCCTAAGGGCTCTCTCTATTGGTTTGACAAACGTAAACACTCAGGGGTATTACTGCCTCAATAGACAGTCTTCCTAGCTTCCCTCATTTTAGATTTTTCTTTTCAATTCAACCGTCTACCATTCCCCTTTCCTAAGGTATTTAGGCTTTTACAGATCACCATGAGCTCTTACAGAGTCTGCCATAATGCGAAGGATTGCCTTAGTCTTCACTCAAGATTACAGTCCCCCCAGGTTTTAGACAAGTGGACTCTAGTATAAGATCACAACAGTGTAATTAGGCATTCAGATTTTAGCATTAAGTTCAGAATTCTCACTTTGGCAAGTGACATATTGTGTTGGAGAAAGTGAAGAACTATAGTACTAACTTCAAGTGAATCAACAAGTGTTTAAAATTTCAAAATTTCTCGCACATTTTTGAATCATCATAGACTTTTGACACTGCATATACATAAACCAATTCACAGTTGCACATAATTTTTAAAAATTTTTCAAATTTTTCCAAAATTTAATACTGTTATACTTAAAACATGCAATGAATACACAAATGCAAACACACAAATCCCTCCCCAAACTTAAAATAAGCATTTTCCTCAATGCTTACAACAGAAATGCAGGGGAAGAACAAACATAGACACTAAGCATGAAATTTGACTGAAATCAGAAAAATAACATACAAAGTGGACTCAATCTAGCCTAAGACTGTAGATGCATAGACTCAAAATAGAAAAAACATAAAAATTTGACCTAATCAAAAGAAACAGAAAATAAAAGAAAAGAAAAACAGAAAGAAAACCTAAAGACTCCCCAGGGTGATTAAAGGTTCATGTATGGGTCTGGTGGACCTTGTAGATTCCAAGGAGTTGGAATCTCTCCTCTCTCATCTTCTGGCAAGAAGTCAACACCGGCTCTCATCATCAACCTTGTAGCTATTACTAGGAAGAACTAATACTTCTACCTCAGGTTCAGGTATCGGTGCATTTGCCTTCTGATTATATCTGCAACATCTATAAGGATATTCATTGCAATGGGGTATAGTAAGATAACTGCATCAAAAGTCGCCTGCCCTCTACTGTTGGAAGGCATCGAATTGGTACAAATGAAATTGAACCATGGTTTGTAAGCTTGCTTCCATTCTGCAATCAGAAAGTTCTTCAGGAATCCATGACTGTCTACCGTCCATATATCCTCTGTTGCACTTTCACAAAGTGCCATTGGCAGTTCTCCTTCAGGTGTTTCATCCATCATATTGAAGGCTGTATATTCATATGGAGGGATGTTGGCTAGTAACTCAAGTATTTCTCGAATTGCCACTTTGCTGATATCAATTGCCTTGCCTCTTACTATGATCACATCCCCATCCGCTCCCCATAGATTACTATAGAATTCTCTGACAGATGTGAGGTTTGGTTGAACTGCGAAGGTGGAGAATCCTTGCCAGCCACGTCCAATTATGTATGAATGTGGATCTGCTGAGATGTCAACTTCCCTCTCCATAATAAACTTCCTTTCCCATGTTCTCCGATAGAACGCTGCTCCTTCGGGCGTTGTGACGGGACCGAAATTTTTGATTCCCTCTGAGGTGATTCCGATGCTCCTCCTTTGCGCTCTAGTGGGATTATTGGGAAGACGTGGCGGTTGAAAGACAATCCCTTGGATTTGGTGTGATCTTTTTTCTGGCAGTTTGTTTGACTCTAGCCATGGATGAAGGTGTATGACTGGTTGATTCTTTGCTAGGAATGCAAGGGGTGTTTTTCAGAGGACTCACTAGAAAATGTTTGGATTGGAGTTGTATTCCTTTGGGTTTTAAAGAATGGTAAATCAGGTTATTTGGCAGAGTGGGAAACATTTTTGCAGAGAGTGGGGTAGTGGGCAGCCTTTTTCTCTTGAAGAGTGGGGGTCATTTGTTTTCTCCAAATTCATCATTTTGACGGCTTACACACCCCGCCTCTTTCTCTTGAAGATTGGGGGTCATTTGTTTTCCCCAAATTCATCATTTTGACGGCTTACACACCCCATCTCTTTAAAGGATTTTAAAACCGAGTTTTCCCTCCTTTTTGTCAATTCAGAACACAAGGTGTATGGCCATTTGCAAGTCACCCCTGGTCAATCATCTCAATTGTGAAAGTGGGTCTATCACTTGCCCAACTAAGACGACAGATCAATGTTCATTGCTTTGTGTAGATAAACAAACTGAAATGTTGCCGTTCTGATTATATCATAGGCTGCAAAGCATTTCAAGTTATCCATCCACACAATATTCACCTGAAAATTTCTGATAAGGCCTATTCCATCCTTTCTGATTACCACTTAAACAGATTGATTAATTAACAAAAGATAATTAAAACAAAACTAAGAAGAACAAAATAACTTTTGGATTGCCTCCCAAGCAGCGAATTGGTTTAACGTCTCATGCCAGACTGATTGGTGCTCCTTACTTGGATTCCTTCAGTTGCAACACCTCCCTGTGCTGCATCCCAGCCTTTTGATCTGTGCTGTGTGCTTCCCTTCTCTTGGGATTTTCCAGTGTGTCACTAGAAAGAGTGCCAGCAGGTCTGTCTGGTATTTTCCTTGCCATTTGTGCAACTTGGTTCTGCATATCTTTCACACTTGTATCAAGATTAGCAAGAACATTTCCAACCTTGATCCAGTCTTCCTCATTGACTCTGAATGGTTGATTCTGAAATCCAGGTGGTTGAGCTAATCTCTGGTAGTTTGACTGCTGATTAGTCCAGTTGTTGTTCTGTTGTGGCCTCCAATTGTTGAAGCCTCCTCTGTTATCTCCTTGCATCATGAACTGAACTTCTTCCATAGTAGCTTGACAAGAAGAGCTGGGGTGAGATCCTATACAGATTTCACATACATCAACTTTTGGTTTGTTGATGTCAGCTCTCAGCTTTGATATTTCACTGGTGATGGCCGCCATCTATGATTGCAAGTGAGTTGTAGCATCCAACTCCAACACTCCTGCTTTCGTAGTTGTAGCTCTCGTCTCCTTCTGCCATCTGAAATGGTTAGCACACATATTCTTCAACAGTTGGATTGCTTCATCTACAGGTTTCATCATGAATGCTCCTCTAGATGATTAATCAAGTGACTCTCTGAAAGCTTGCTGCAATCCATTGTAAAAAATACACAGCTGCATTGGCTTCTCTACACCGTGTTGAGGGCACTTCCTCATTAGATCCTTAACTTTTTCCCAAGCCTCATAAAGAGTCTCTGTCCCATGCTGCTGAAAAGTCATGATGGCTGTTCTTAAAGCAACAGCCTTGACAGGTGGAAAGAATTTTGAAGAATTTTGTATGGAATGCCTGTCTGAGTCCATTCCAGAAATCGATTGAATTGTTGGGTAGAGTGTCCAACCATTTTGCTGCTAAATCCTGCAATGTGAACGGAAACAGTCTCAAGTAAAAACTCCCTTTAGACAAACTTTGGATTTTGAATGTGCTGCACAGCCTGAGAAATTTTTTGATGTGCTCATTCGGATCTTCACTAGGCAGTCCATAGAAAGGACAAGCAGCTTGGACGCATTGAACCATTTGAGTATTGAGCTCAAAGTTCTTTGCTGCAACATCATTGTACACCAATGGAGTTTGAACTTCCTCCTCTTGAGGTATAAAATAATCTCTTAGTAGTCTGGGTTGAGCTGGTTGTAGCTCTCTTTCTTGAGGTTGATCAGCTGCTGCTACATCTGCCATCTTCTTCTGATCTTCTTTAGGAACTTGAGCAACAGCTTCTTTGTTTCGCAAGGATTCTGATTTTCTCGCCGTGTCTTTGGTTTCTGGGTCAAAACATAGCTCTCCAGAAGGATTGCTTCTAGTCATAAACCAGTATTCAAATCACGAAAGTAACAATAAAAGATTTTGAGTGAGTGAATGAATGAAATTGACAAAAACAGAAAAGCTAAAAAGAATAAAAACATAACATAATAATCGAATTTTATGGATTTTTAACACCATCCCCGGCAGCGGCGCCACTTTTGGTGAGACGCTTTTTGTGATGATTGTCGTTGGAATCGCTTCCCAAAAGAATATAAACTTAAAACTATTAGCTAGTGGTAAGCATGATCGTTCCACAGGGACGGTAGTCAACCGCTCAAAATCTGATTAAAATGCAAAAAAAAAAAAAAGAACTAGTTGAACAGACTGTCACTTGGGAGAGTGAGAATATTCACTTGACAGAGTAAAGAGGTAAAAGGGTCAATCACCTTCCTACCTTTATGATCCAGTCTTGATTCAATATTCCTGTAGTATATGATTAGTTGTTCGATCAGGCACCTATGTATCTTTATAATTCCTTCCAGATGAAATAAAGAGTCCTAGATTATCAACCCAGTCAGAGTCTTATTTAATACAAGCCATGAAGTTCTTAAGCACTTATTGATCGCCTATGCCACCACCGAACTGCCGTTGGTGAATGAAACCAAAAGGGTAGATTTCCTCCTTTTTCATACACTAGATCAAGCAGTTCTAAGGTTATGCATCCCGTTCCAGATCTTCATAAGCATGCAAGCACTTTTAATTAATTGATCAAGTTAACTAAAAGTTTAATTAAATCATTTATCTATGTACAACACCTCATCAAGAAAAATGAATCAAAACTTTCACATAATGATAGTAGGGATTGAACCCTTAATACGTTAGCTACTCATGCAGGGACAATACTGGCTGCTCACTATGGCAAGTGGTGTCTGCCACTTGACAGAGTGACAGTCTGCCTTGTTCCTGCTACTAACATGTTTCTAACCAACTAATTAACTACCTAACTACTGTCTTTTAGATTAAAGCTAACTACCCAACTGTTGTTCTTCTACTGCTATTGGATGACTAGCTATTTATAGAGATTTGGAGAGGCTTGGATTGGTGGAGTTTTGGCCTTCTTCTCTGTAGCATAAAGGTGAGGCAGCAACTTGCAGCAGAGGAGATTTGTTTATTCTGCAACTCACCTAGTTGGCAAGCTGCAATCTTCTTTTTGGCTGCTCCTTCTCTTCAGCCGCAATTCACCACCTTCCACTCATCATTGCCTTCTTCTCTTAGTCTTCTTCTCTGGTTCAGCTGCTCCGATTCCCAGCCACAAGTCTCTATTTCTTCATTTTTCAATCCTCAGCAGTCCAATTTAGCAGCAGTAGCAAGCAGCAGCAGCAGCATGCTTCCTTCCATCTTTGTGTCTCAGCCCCTAATTCAGTCTGAATCTTCTTGTCCTTTTCTTCCTTGTTTCCTGGGTCACATGCTATGCCATTTCTCACCCTTCTGCAGCAGCTAATCCATAATCAGTGGGTAAGTAGCAGAGTTGCAGCTGCTACTTATCACATATTCTCTCTCTTTCTCTTCTTCCACTTGCAAGAACAACAACTTGCAGTGATGGCAAAGCGATTTCCTTCCTTGGGCACCAAGATTTCAGCTAGTGGCTTCTCTTTGATTGACAGCATCAATTAGGCAGTAAGGTAGCTGCCATTCTTCTTCCAGATTGAGTATGCTGCAGCAGATTCTTCTATTTGCATCCATCTGCTATCAATCTTCCTTCCTTAGCAAGGATTTCTTCACTTGCTCCAGCTCTTATCAGTCCTTCCGGCAGCTCCAATTCTAGCCGCTTCCAATCTAGTCCCTTTTGATGTTTTTTCGTGTAATTTGGTCCTCATTTATGCTGATTTTTCTCATTGGCCCCTTGAGAAACCTAAATTATAAAATCATCCCAAAAATAAACTAATCCTAACTAATTGACACTAATTTATAAGTAGAAATGAATAGAAAATGCTTGTAAAAAGGGTATATATTTTTGCGTCATCAAGGCCCCTAAGTAATTTGTCAATCCCTGCAATTTCACCTTGGAATCCTCCTGGATCAATGAGGAACAACCACTTCTTCCAATCCAGTTTTTCCATTCACTTAACTCCCGAAAGACTAACCAACTCACCAGGTTCAGTATAAAAGATGTTAAGTCGAACTCCCACATTAAAATTAACATCGAAACCATCATTTTTCAGGTCGACAGAATAAACTTCTAAATGCTTACATGAAGCTTCCACCATTTTAGGATGCACATTTTCGTCAACAACAGACGTATCCTCAGCAGCACTTCGTCCATCACATTCATCAATTAAGCTTCCCGACAATACATTCAGATTCATGACTGATTTTTCAGCATCTAAACTCACAGACACTTGTTCAATCACGTCCACTTTACATTTACCACTCAAATTAGCCATGTCAACCTCTTCTTCACGCTTTTCAATTAGTGTCACAGAATCAAAGTCATCCAATTCACGACTATCATCATCAAGATTCACAGAGCCATAGCTGAAGTTTTTAACATAAACAGATTTATCAACATACTGCCAACAAGTGTCACAAACAATTGAGCTCTTAACCCTAGATTGGATATCTAGTTCACCAGGGTCAATAGCATATGAGTTCATTCGAATTCCATTTCTGAAATTAACATCTGTATCACCATTTTCTGGTTGGTAAAAGGAACGACTACATCGCTGGAATGCATATTCTCATCAACATTCCATTTATAGACAGGAGTACTCACAAGAACAATTTCATCACAAACACGATTAAAATTCAATTCATTCATTCCAGTACCATTTGAACTAGTTATACCAAGATTGTCTTCAACTGAAACAGAATTATCATCATTTTTTCAGTGGAACCTCAAGGTTTTGAAAGGAACAATTACCTCGTTCTTGAACCAATGGATTGACATCTACTTCTTCGATGAAATCTTGCTCGGAATCATGGGCACAAACCTCCCTCACAACAGAAGCTTTTTCTGGCTGACAATTACCGGCGATTGCCCGATATAGGTTGCTGCTCCTTTATCTTCTTCTTGCGAACACTCAATTTCGGCAACCCTTGCCTCCATCGATGCAAATTTCTCCTCGACTATCATAACTTTTTCTTCTGAAATTGAAGGAACTTGTTGTTCGATTTCATCTAGGCTTGCTTCCAAAACTTCAAACGATCTCAAACGGAGCTGTGTCTGCACTGAACGAGCTTAGAACTAAATCGTGCATTGTCTGCTGTGATTTGTTGAATAGTAGCCGACATTTCCTTCAATTCATCCAAAATTAACACCATCATCGCCAGATCATCGGATTCCACCGACTGATTCACCTCTGCATTGGATGCCATCGTTCCGTTCAGGCCAAGAAATGTACGGCTCTGGATAACAAATGTAAAGCACTAGAAAGGAAATGAAGCTATTATTGCGGAAATGGAGCTTTACCGGCACCGGAATGGTGACGGATCGGCCAGACAATACAAAACGGAGCTAACACCAGCAAAAGTATAGAGAGAAGAAACAAATGATTCAGTTTTACAATCATGATTTTCGATAACTTCCATTCAGCCCCTAAACTTCTATTTATAATCCCTACTCAAGCATCAATAGTAAAATAACTATTCAGTCCTGTAGCTTACTAATATGCTACAAAGATCCTTCGGGCATGACACCAAAGTGCAGGAAGCTCCTCGGCCCACCAAAACCTAAAGGTCCAGAGTTGCTAGTTTAGTCCTCCAAAAATTCTGCTTCTCTAATTTATTCCTTTGAGTTCTTCAAATCTCCAATTCCACCCTTCTGAGTTGCTCTTTGTCTTTAATTTATCCCAAAACTCCAACAATCACTTCATTTGAGTACAATTTCTACAAATAAAGATAAAATCTAGTAAATAGTACATTTGTAGTCAAAATATAGGCAAAATCTCGCATAAAGGGATATTAAAAATAGATAATTATATGCATATCAGTATTTTAGTTTAATGTAGTAGGAATTAGAGAGTTCTAATCTAGTTTTGTTATTTTTTGTGATCAAGGGGCTCATTGCAAAATATGGAAAAAGGTGGTCAATTGGTGTGAAAAGGCAAAGTTCTGGGCAAAATTGAAGATGACCAATTGCACTGGTGGTACAAAATTTGTTGGGTGAAGAAGCCGGCAGGAGCAGCAGCAACATAACGAAGAAAATCAAGCAAACCTTGGAGACTAAGGAAGAAGAAAGATGAAGGATGTGATGTTGTCGACTTCAAGAGAGTATGCTAGGGCCACAAGATCATTAAATCAATTAAACAACTTCCTAAAGTTGATTAGAATACAAAGAGGATGAATGGGCAAGGATGGGTCTTCCCTAAATCAAGGAGATCAATCTTGACTACTTTGCCCACTCCAACCTCTATAAAAACAAAAAGATCGACAGCAGTCAAGGCATCGAGTGAAGAGATGAAGAATTAGAGTCAGCTTAGTTCTCAATTCGGTTAGAAAAATAGAGTATCAACATGCAGTAGAATCCAGAATGTTACTTGGTGAAGTGAGAAGCTGACTTTCCCGAGTCAGCAGAACAAAGCCACACTCACTAGCTCTTATGTTGCCCTGTTTTCTTACCTTTTGGGTTGTAATCATGTTTTTTTGTAATTCATTGCTTTTGTATTTAAGATTCTAAAAATGTGTAGCTAACTCTTCTCTAGGGTCTAATCTCTCTATATAAAAATATTTTGATTTATCTCTCGGGTGATATTTGTGCGCCTAATCTTAGAGTTTCAATAATTGAATTGCCTACTTAAGTAATTAAGCATGCATGTAAAGGGAATCTAGAACGGGTAAACTTAACTTATAATGTCTAAGATTAACCGGTGACGAGGGGGTTACAGCCCAATGTTTCAAACAATATTGGTATTTAGTTGTTTGGCGCAAGACAATCAAAAAGGCTTAGGATCCTAATGTTGTAATAGTATTCTGGAATCAATGACGGAAATTAGTGGGTTTGGAACAATCAGTTATGATCGTTCTATCAATTTTACTCTAGTTAAGTTAATTATTTTCTTATTTACATTAGTAATTATCTTTCCCTCTGTCACTTTAGTAGTGGATTAGTGAATCATTTTATATAATTCGTTTTGGTCAATTTTATGTAATTTTAAATAAGTAGACAAGGTAATTTATAGTGTCATAATTAGTCTATTTATACATTATAATTTTGTATTAACGTAAGATGAAAAAAATTAGAAATTTATGTTTTCATGTCTCTGTGTATTACTCTCAATCTGGAGTTCTAATTACAACTAGAATAGAAATATATAATTATATAACACCATTAGTTACTTCCTACTTGACATCTCTTTTTTTTTTTTTTGGATAGAGACACATTTATCATTCCACATCTCCTCCCACAGACGGTTCTCTCATAAGGATGGATTATTTTTTTTGTTTGTTCTTTTGCTTTGTTTTGTTATTTATGCTATAACATATATTCAAAGAATAAGGTTATGTCACAACTTTTGCTGGTTTTCGTCCCTTAAGCTTATGTAACTTCTTGATTAAGGTTTTTACCAAGATCATTACAGAACAGATGAAATAAATGCTTGAATAAGCTAATATCGTCCCATAAGCTTATGTAATATCTTGAATAAGGTTTTTACCAAGATTATATTAGAACAGATGAAGAAATGCTTGAAAGCTAATATCGGAAGAGCAGTCGGCTTCCCTTTCGGGCCGAGATATAATTGACAATGTTTTACTTGCTCATGAATTATGCCAACCCTTGAAGCACAAGGCGGAAGGTGAAAATGTTATTATCAAAGTGGACATGATGAAGACTTTTGATAGTCTCATGGAATTTTTTGGAGGCGATGCTTGTGGCTTTTGGATTTCCTCCCATGTTCGTAACTTTGATTATGAACAATTTGAAAGGAAGTTGGTTTTCACTGTTAATAAATAGTTCACCAGCGGGGTTCTTTCAGTCATCTAGAGGTCTAAAACGAGGTGAACCAGTGTCTCCCTATCTATTTAATTTTGGTGTCAGAGGCCTTGCGCGCTATGGCTCACCAGCTGGATCACTTCCACCTTCCCTTTTATGTTTTGCCGACGATCTCATAGTATTTACTTGGGGTTTGAAATTGTCCTTGAGAGAATTAAATCAATCTTTTTTATGGATTATGAAGCTTTTCTAGGTCAGAAAATTAACCGAGACAAGAGATACTTTCTCATTTCGTCGAAGTGCAAAAATAAACAAGTTAAGATCATAAAAAACTCACTAAGAATGGAGAAGGTCATCTCCCATTGTTTACTTGGGTTGTAGATTGTTTAAAGGACGAAAAAATAAGGATTATTTTCAGTTCTTATTGGACACTTTTGAGCATCAGCTTTTAAATTGGAAGATCAAGTTTTTGACTCAAGGTAGAAGGGTTGCTTATCATAGAGCATGTGTTGGCTGTGATCCAAATCCAAACAATTGTAGCTTTATCTCCACAGATGATTGTTGCTGAAATGGAGGCCAAGTGTCAATGGTTTTTATGGGGTAGTTCAGTCGTAGAAAAAAAAAAGAAAAGACCTTCAAGGGCATGGGAGAAAGTAACCTACCCCATAGTAGAAAAATGGCTTGGGGCTGAGGAGGTTGAGGGACATTGTTGATGTCGTTTTTACCAAGCTTTGGTAGAAAATGGAGCACAATGTTGGCTGACAAAGACGAAAATCCGCACGATGCTTTAGGACGGGAGGCGACCAAGAATTAGGTGTAGAAGAATTAAGAAAATAGATAGATTATTATTTTGTATTGCGTAGAGAGAGCCCGTCCCAAATAGAGGAGAGATCACCCCTTTATATAGGGGTGGGGTACATGATTAAGGCGGTTCCTAGTTGTAGTAGGTTTATTAATATTAGGTCATTTACAAGTACCCCTAGCAAGTCATATTTCTGAGACTTGTTGTGAGAATATGGGTTGCTACAAGTGCCGATGTATTCTCCTATTTCATCATGATGCCCCAGTTCTCGAGCTTTTTGGTTCTCGAGTGTCACCTGTATAACATAAAACATGTAGATGTATTCAAGAATTGTGTTCTCGAGTTAGTTCACATATGCCAGCCGTGCACATCTTTAAGTTCCTTTCTGATGTGGGGTGGTCCTCAGTGCCTGATTCAAAGGGTGGCCCCTTTCGTCTCTTATTTGAAGGTCAGAAGCCTATAGTCTCTTATTTGAAGGCGAGAAGCATGTATGCGTGATTCGATGGATGGCGCCTAAATCTCTGATTCGAAAGATGGCGCCTATACTTCCTTATTCAAAGGGAGGAACCCTATGTTTGGATGCCAGTCTCGGGATGTGCAGTGGATATGTGTCATATGCAATAATGACATGCAACAATAACATGCTTGTGAGCAATTTTAGCAATAATGGACGTACATAGATAGTACTTATGTTAGTGAAGTTATAATTATTAGGAAGTACCTTTTGAGTCGAGAAGGTTATGCGTGACCTCAAATCCAAGAGTGTACCATTTGACTAGTTGAAAATAGAGATATGTCTTCTCGAACACTTCGACTAGTATATAAGGTTCTCGAGAAACCACTACTTAGAACCACAAAGTCGGAAATCATTTTAAAATATCAATCTCAACTACCATGCCACACATCAATTACAAGCTTAATCAATTAGGCAATTAAACATAAACTCCTCTAATACTATGTATACTAAAAAAGATAGTTGCTTCATCCCTAAACTCCATTAATGATTGGAACAGAATCACCTCACCTTCTTTTTTTTTCTTCTTTCTTCTTTTTTTTTTTTCTCTCGAGGGTAGCGTACCAAACAATTCACACAAATCAATATCTAGCAGAATATTAAAAAATTTGAAAATGCGTCACATCACTCACCAATCAAATAAACTCACCAATAAAGGTCTTAAAAGGGTTGTAATGGGGCTTTAGGTAAGGAAAAGGGTGGATTGATATGGATGTAGACATATAATTTTGTCAAGGTAGACCATGTATACTTAAACTCCACCATCTCACCAGATATCCCATATAATGACATTGCTCATTCTCACACCTCAAACTTCAAGTGTGCGTTGCATAAGAACTTATAGTGAACATATTACATTTCAAACCCATGGTATCTCAAAGATATAAGGAAGAACTTGTCATACTCTCGAACAAGTAGAAAATAGGAATTCATGCGATTTTCTTTCTTTTTTTTTTCCTTTTGGTCGAGTCTTTTTCCTGATTTTTTCTTTTTTTTTTATTTCTCTTTTTTTTTTCAGCATGCCCTATATTACATCAAATGTATAACTAAAACCAAGAACTCATGCCATCATAATATCCAATTCATACCACAAATCCAGTTTAAGCAACCTAATCCCGAGCTTGTCAAAAAGGAAAAGGATAAAAAAAAAGGCAAATGATTTAATATATCTTGAGCTTAAGAAAAACGGTCAAGGTTTGAATGGTTCACCAGGGGTAAACATAAATATGAAGGCTTTTTAAGCTAACTTGGCTGAATCGTAGTGCCTTTATTCTAGTGGCAAGCCATTTACAAGAGCACAGATGTGTCCTAGCTCAGTAAATTCAAGATTGATCCATAATAGATATGATATACTTCTCACATAAAATGTTGAGCATTCAAATACACTAACCTATTTGCTCAGAAAGGCTCAGGTCACTCAA